TCTTTTAAAACTGCTGTTAAAAAAAACAGTGATGATGGATTGTCCCTAAAATTCGCTTTATCAAAATACCTTGCAACATATCGTGCAATGCCGAATGCTGAAGGTAAATCACTTGCTGAACTTTTACATGGAATTCCTGTTCGTACGCTGTTGAGTCAACTGTTTGAATCGCATAGGAAGCACATTGAAATTTCGAAGCGAAAAATTAAATTCAGTCTAAAGCAACCTGTCTTCGCTCGAAACTACGAAAAAGGGGAAAAATGGATAAAAAGAGTAATTGTGGAATAAATTGGTAAAATGGTTAACCGAGTAACACATCTTTGGGCTACATCAAACGTCACGCTAATCAGCTTCAAACTAGAAGTAGCTCTGACCAAATCTCTTCACAACCAATTTTTGAATTCGCTCCCAAAATCGTCAATGCAACACTGCCTTCATCTAGCCAATCAACATTAATGTCTAGTGAAGAAACCTTCTTCCTAATAGTTTAACTTCGGAAAAGTGGACGTATTCGGAAGGATGTAAATCGATATGCACCTGACAATTTTAGGAAAACTTAAGTCCATTTTCTTATAACTTTTCACACATAGTTTTTTCATTTTGCATTTATTAATTTCAATTTACATACTATTACATTTCATTGTCAAAAATTAAGGACGGAGAAGTGTTATAATCTAGTATTTTTTGTATTAGTTTAAGCAATCTTAGATAATGAAATGTTAACAAAATTTAGTCAAATATAAACTGTCAATAGTGTCGGTCATATTTACTTCATGATGCGTGATATCCTCAACTGAGTTTTCTTTTGGAAAAATTATATTACTTAAATTAAAATCGAAGTTAAAAATATTAACTAAACCAAAATTGAAGTAATAGTTAAAATACCTAGTAACTAAAACTGCAAATTCTTGAAAACTATTCTATTTAAACAAAAAAATTGAAATTAGAATGTTAAATAAACAAATAATTCATGAAAAACTATTTTATTTAAATTAAAGTATATGTTATATGGTGCATCGGATATAGTAAGGAAATAATACGATGTGAAAACTAGCATACAACAATAGCAGCAACAGCAAGGTGGACAGCAGTGGCGGCAAAAACGTGGTCACTACGGTAGAATAATGTATATTAAATAATAAGATCAGTAATTTAAGTTTTAAAATTAACATTGCTCAAGAATTAGAGAAGTAGAGAAAAAAAAGGACTTTTTTCTGTTATTATTATATTTTTTGGTCTATCGATAGTATTTCTTTTTGACTTAAAATTTTATCTTGGTACACCCACCGCGCTAGTGACGTCATTGGAACAGTTGTAGTAAGTGCCTGGCTAGGCCAACAAAATTTGTTTTTATTGCTTCGTGCATATTTTATTTTTCTTCTCTTCCGCTTTCTGTTTTTTTTTTTAATTATATTAAGAACTACTTCTTTTTTATTACAATTTGTTTTTACATTATTTCTTTTACGTATCATACTTGTAACGACCGGGTTTCTATCGTTTCGTTTTGCTGAGGTAGCAAAGCGGTTGTCCAGGTTCGTTGCAATAAAATTTATACTTGCGGGACTAAATTCTGTTCCATAAATAAAAGTGTACTTTTATACAATAATTTAATAGTTACTTTATTTATTTCAGTATAAAACAATAGTTGCAGGTATTCAAAATATTATTTTGTTAAATAAATTCTCTTATAATTCTGACTCTCCTCGTTGTGGCGTCCGGGTGAATTAAGGTATACAATAGTATACAGTCGTGACTTTGTTGAATCGTTGTACAGGTTTATGTGGTTGACTCTGATGTTGAGAAGGTTTCTGATAGGACCGCGTTCTCTCCTGGGTTTCTTCTCTCCTTACGGATGCTCTGTGTTACGAAAACCTATAGGTTGGCTGAATGAGCCAAATAAAAAAAAGAATAATTAACAAAAAAAAGAAAAGAAAATGATCGAATGGACCAGTGTAGGTTGATTAAGCCTATAAACTAGGATTTGATCGAAGTGACCAGTTGCCTGCTTTGATCGAACTGACCAGTGTATACTGAATTAGCCTGTAAACTAGGATTTGATCGAATTGACCAGTTGCCTGCTTTGATCGATCTGACCAGTGTAGACTGAATTAGCCTGTAAACTAATATTGATCGAATTGACCAGTTGAACTTGTTTATCGTTTGATATCCAAGAGACAAGTTCCTAGTTCTGTAAAATGCGCGTTCTTATATACTTGTTTGACCGGAGCTTTTCGGTGTAGCGTATCGGTAAACTTCGTTGTTCGTGTTAACTTTTGTGCTTTTCGCAAGCCTTTCTTGTGTATATTGTATATTTTGCATGCTTTTGTGCATTTTTTGTGTACTTTGTGTAATATGCCTGTTTTTGTTTTCGCCCTACTTTTACGTTTGACATATTCCGCGTCTTTCTGATTTAAATCAGAAAGTCAAAAATAATATTAAAGTTTTAATTTATATTATTTAATTTTTGAAGAAGTTATGTGCCAAACTACAAGTGAGTGACATTGTGGTGATAGAATTTTTAACGCTGTTAAGTACAATCAGTGCAAGTGCATTATTATAATTTATTGTCTTGGATAGTAGTTTGGTTTTGTTTGTTAAATAGAAAAATATAATTTTAATTAATGCAGTGTTCATTGTTTTCGTGGTTTAATATATAAAAGAAAAATAACCCAAACAAAGAATTTACAGCAGAAGTGGGTTTTCGATGTGTTATATTTTTATGTTTTATTGTTTTTTTCTATTTTGTTTTTATGTTGTAAAAAAGATGTAAACAAGGAGTGTTTTTTCATTGTTGGTAATTTATTTCTTGAAATTCATGTTTATTAATTAAATATATAAAATGTGTTTTATTGTTTATTAATGTTCAATGTATGTCTTATATTATAATTTGTAATTAAAAATTCATTTGTTTTATTCCTTAACATATTTCAAGTTATGTTTTAGTTTTGTTGTTTTATTATTTTTTTATTTTCTTCAGGTTTGTTTACAAGTCATGCCCGCGGCGGAATGTAGGTAATGTTGTTGCATTATGATCTCGATAAATATTTAAATAAATTTTATCCTTCCTAGGTTGTACGTTGAACTTTGTTGTGGGTTAGTTTGCTTCTGGTGTTGTCCGAAATGGTGTTGGTGTTACGTTTTCTGCTGACGAACTGACGTCAGATTTGTACAAAAGTATATGTATGGTTGAAATTACTTTGTAGCAATTTCAACCTTTACACTACTTATAACTTATAACTTATAACTTATAACTTATACTACTTATAAGAAAGCTGAATTAAATAACAGACAAGCAGTTGTATAGTTTTGAATATATATTTTTTGCTGTTGATTCTTTTATTATTATTATACTTAAATCTATAATATATATATTGTTTGTAGATAAGCTATATTGTTGAATAAGAATTAATTTTTTAAGTTAATGTTTTGCTGATTTTGTACCTGGAAATAATGTGTAATGGAAAAAACAAAAAAAAAATTTTATAAATTCTATTTTTTATATTATACTTTAATTTACTTTTATACTTTAATTGAAATAAAATAAGATACATCTATTATGAATACTGAAGGTTTTGTTATAATCAATATGCTTGAATTATAAATTGCTAAAGGGGTGGTACGAACAGGTAATGGGTCCTAATGTGCAAGAAATAACTTAACCCAAATGGACTAGATAACGAACAAAATACAGTGACATTGGGAGAGAGATTTCAGGACTGACAAAAACCAAATACATGACATGAGGATTTTTTGTTGATGTCGACTGTGTAATACTGGTGCCAAGACCCACCGCCAATACCAGCGGGAATTCCGAGCTTGCCACCGTGCCATGGAGGGCAATAGAAGACACGATGTTAATAACAAGGTGGACACAACAATTATGAAGTAATATCTGAGACGGCATACATAGGGGTATTTGCTCAATTTAAGCGGCCAAAAATCCAATTTTTGAAATTAATTTTTCATAAAAATTTTTAAATGGGAACTTTACAAAATAGAATACGCTACAAGATGATAGTTTTTTTTTCTTCTTTGTGCTGTCTCTCGCATGCACAGCTGATTTGAGGTGGAGCATTTTGAAACGAAAATTTTTGTTTGAATTGCAACTTAAGCTAGTAGTTAATAAAAAGTAATATTATTAATACTGACAACATTTCTGAAAGATATAAATTATGACATCTTTTAAAGCAAGTAATTAGAAATCTACTTACTTACGAAATTTATTGTAGATATTCTGTGTTTTAGTGCTATTGAGGCTTTAATCTAATAGTTGATGTTTGAATGAATTTTTTTGATCAAATCGAAGTTTCTTTATTTAAGAAAAAAAAGTTTGGTTGCGGATTTTTGCGGTTGGCTTTGTAAGCAGCAAAAAAGTGGAGTAGAGTCATGCATATTTGAAACAATATTTTGCATTGCTTCGTATAGAACACGAGTAATCATAATATTTAGATAATGTACATTAAAGTTAAGTTAACATTAAAGTTAAAGTTAATATTTACTAATTTTTGTGAGTATTTGTATGAAAAACAAACACGAATTTCCATACACGCAAAACTTTATGTATTTATTCGTTAAGGATTTAGTCAATTAAATTTTATTACATTCTTATACAAATTTTTTACTGATAAATTATTAATATCTTGTCAAGCCAAAAAACGTGCACACACCGCCAGTAGCCAATTAAGAAGAAGGAAAAGGAAAAAGCAAAAAAGCGAAGCCAAAATTATCGCTGCCAGATGTTAGGATGCCATTGTCAAAAAGTGCTAAATGTGTGCTGCCACATCGCCTAGTTGCTGTGCCAAATCTCAAACATCCTCCCCGGCTGGACGGGTACGTTCAGGATGCTCCACAAGCCTGCATATTTTTTGGATAGGTCGCATGCATTCGCCTGCTGAATGCTTGATCGTGACTACTCGGACCAAACCATCTTCGCCTGGGTGAAGTTTTATCACCCTCCCAAGCCGCCAATGTGTGGCTGGTAGATTCTCGTGCCGGATTACCTCGACATCGCCTATGTTAATGTTGTCGCCATTCTGATGCCATTTGGAACGTGGTTGCAAAGTTGAAAGATATTCGTCATGCCATTGTCGCCAAAAATGCTGTTGCATTTGCCTTAATTGTCGCCAGTATGATAATTTGTTGCTAGGTACCTTGCCAATAGGTGCGTCTGGTACTGCCAATAGAGATCTGCCAATCAGGAAATCTGCAGGTGATATAGCCATCTTGTCGTCACAAGTGTCATGCAATGGTATAAGTGGACGCGAATTCAAGCAAGCCTCGATATGTACAAGTAGAGTATGTAGCTGATCATAGTAAATGGAATGGGTGCCAACAATGCGTAGTAAGTGCTTCTTCGCAGACTTAACGGCAGCTTCCCATAGTCCGCCTTGATGAGGTGCGCCAGGTGGTAGAAAATGCCATTTTGTGCCTCGATTCGCCAATTGCTGTTGAGAATATTCATTATGCCAAGCCTGTAAGTCAGCGGCCATTAAGCGATCTGCGCCAATGAATGTAGTGCCATTGTCACTGTATAAATGATTACATGGACCACGCCGGTTTACGAAACGGGTGTATGCATTTATGAAAGCCTCAGAAGTGAGATCTTCAGCCAGTTCGATGTGCACTGCCTTGGTTGCCATGCACACAAAGATTGCCACGTAAGCCTTCCGCACGGTTCGTACAGCCTTGGAGCCAATGCGTATGTTGAATGGACCGCAATAGTCTAAGCCAGATCTAGCAAATGGTGGAGATGGGGTGACCCGAGCCTTTGGTAATGTCGCCATACGTTGTTTTAGCATTATGTGTTTATGCCGCCTGCAAATCGCGCATGAGTGTATGCATTGCTTAACCAAAATGCGTGCCTGTAGAATCCAATATTTGTGTCGAATCGTATGAAGCATGATTTGTATACCGCCATGAAGTGTGTCCTGATGCACCTGCCATATTAAAAGCCTGGCCAATGTGCTATCCTTCGGAAGAATGATTGGATGACGCTGTGGCTCTGCCACCCTCGCATTGTGTAGGCGTCCGCCTACTCGCAATATATTGTCCGCTGTGGAGTTGATGAATGGACTCAGTGCAATGATCTTGCTGGATGTGGATATGGACTGTGCCTTTTTCAGCTGCTTAATTTCCGCTGCGAAATATTTCGCTTGTTCTGCCTTGATGTGGTGATTTAACGCAATGTCCATTTCGCCTGTACAGATGTGTGTATGCGAACGAAAACGATGATGTGCCTTTTTGCAACGCAATATGTATGCAGTAGTGCGCAATAGCTTGCCAAGATGACTGAACCGGTCCAACAGATCTATGACGACCAATTCGTCGCCAGCAGTGTAGTGTGTCTGTAATGCGGGTTGGCCTATTACCTGCAATGCCTTTACCTTAACTGGTTTTAACTCGCCTTCCATTATTGCCAGCTCTGCTGGTGCACAGTGGTGCAGCTCATTGATTGAATAATCAGTTGAATTAGGACCGTGCCACCATAATGCGTAGTTTTGCAACGCCAAAGGGGATATGCCACGACTGGCGCAATCAGCTGGGTTGAGTTTGGTAGGAATGTGATGCCAATGCCTGATATCTGTCATCGATTGAATGCAGCCAACGCGATTAGCAACGTACTGCTTTAATTGTGATGTGTTTTTGCGTAGCCAACATAGAGCAATATTCGAGTCGGAGTATAGAGTGTATGGTACATGCTCCAAATGCAAAGCCTGCCTTGTTTCGTGTAAAAGAGTAGCCAACAACTGCGCAGCACAAAGTTCCAATCGGGGTACTGTTACCGAATGTAATGGTGCCACTTTAGTTTTTGATGCGATAATGTGACTAGTGATATTGCCATTGTGGTTTGTTGCCAAATAGAGTGCTGCAGCCATTGCCTTAACACTAGCATCGCAGAAGCCATGAAGTTGTATTTGATATCCGGGTTGCATGCCTATCCAACGCGGTATTCGTACTGCCTCCAGTTGGGACAACTGCCTTCGGTATATGAGCCATTCTTGCAACAGTTCAAGTGGTAGTGGGTCGTCCCATGCCAATTTTGCCTGCCAGAGTTTCTGTATGAAAAGTTTAGCCGTAATGATGACTGGTGCCAACATGCCAATTGGATCATATAATTTTGCTGCATCGCTAAGCACTTGCCTTTTCGTAAGATGTTGTGCATCATAAGAGCTGACCTGATAGAAGAGTTCATCAGTGAGTGGATCCCAGTGTAAGCCAAGAACAGTAGTTTCTGCCAAGTGCGGATTAAGTTGACATGGATCAGCATCGCCAAGAAGATGTGCCAAGACTTCAGCGCTATTCGATTTCCATTTCCTGAGATGGAACTGACCGTCTGCCAAAACAGATGAGACATCGGCCGCCAGTTGAATCGCCATGCCAATAGAAGGTGTACTCTTAAGGTAGTCATCTACGTAGAAATCATACAGGATGCTGTGCAAAGCAGTTTTAGCTCGTACTTCATCTGAGAGTTTATAAGAGTTGTCTCTGCCACATTGCTGCATAGCGCGAACAGCCAAATATGTGCCACTAGTTGTGCCATATGTAACGGTAGCCAATTGATATGTGCGAATGGGCTGATCGGATGATTCCCGCCAGAGGATCTGTTGCCACTGCCTGTGCCTCTCGTCAACCTTGACTTGCCTGAACATTTTCTCCACATCAGCTGTGAATGCTATTCGATGCTGCCTGAAGCGAAGCAAAAGGTTAAGTAATAAATCCTGTATTGGGGGGCCAGCGAGTTGTGTATCATTTAATGATATGCCATTCGATGTTTTTGCGGAAGCATTGAATACGACTCGGAATTTTGCCATGACTGCATGATGTGGAATGTAGTATGCCTGAGATGGGTCGCCTGAGTGATGCTGAATAGGGTGCATGTGACCAAGTTGTTCGTATTCGCGCATAAAAGCCACATATCTTTGCCTCAGCTCTGAGTTGGATGCCAATTTTCGTTCCAACTGGTGAAATTGCCTGAGTGCCATCTGATGTGAATTGCCAAGTGGTGGAGCATCTGGTGTAAATGGTATTTGCACGCAATAACTGCCATCATCAAAACGCTTATGTGTGCTCATGAAAATGCACTCGCAAAGATCAACTGCTGCTAGTGTATCGCCTTTAGCCATGTCAATTTCTTTGGATTCAAATAGCCTGTGTAGAAGGTCATCAACTCGCTCATCAGGCGCCTTCACACGCAATGCCATAGATTGTTCCGCCTTGTAGTTATGCACGGTTGCTTCAGCTGGTCCGAATACAACCCAGCCTAATTGCGTATTTTGTGCCACAGGATCATCAAGTTCGCCACGAACTATGCCATCTGCCAACAATTGGCCCCATACGTCTGAGCCAAGCAATGCATCTATAACACCAGTTTCGCCAAATTTCGGGTCTGCCAAGGGCAAATTGCGTAAATGCTGCCAACAGTTTTCCATGATTGGAGCCACAGGGATTGCTGAGGTAATTTTGTTGATGATGTAGAATTCAACATCCAAGCCAAATGAAGCATTGACAGTCGAAAATATGCGCAAGACTGCCCGGCCATTAGTATATGAACGATTGCCACTGCCAACGCCTTGTAATTGCAATGCACTTTTCTGCTTCCGCAGAGCCAGTTGATTAAAATATCGCGTACTCATTAGACTTACCTGAGAGCCTGGATCGCATAGAGCTCGACACGAGTCGATATCGCCAAAGCCATTTAAGATGCGTATTTGTGCTGTTGCCAAGAGTATAACCCGATTGCCTATAGTAGCGAATGTCTGCATTGGATGGTGTAGTCACTGATGCACACGTGGTGGGATGCCAGCCTAGTTCGGTTTCGCTGGTGCCTGAGGTGTAGGTTGTGCCTGCTGTTTGGACTCTTGCAAAGGAGTCCTGCGCTGGTGAACTTCGGCATAGTAGAGTGTGATGCCTGCCATTGCATATGCGATAATTAGTTGAGCCACATGCCTTAGTAGAATGTCCAGGTTTCAAGCAATTGAAGCAAAGATTCGAGCCTTTAAGCAGTGTGAAGCGCTCCGCTGGTGAGCAAGCCAATAGCCTGGTGCACTTGCCTATTTGGTGCGATGCGTCATTGCAAAACTGGCAGTGGCCTGAAGTAGTTGCTATTAGGTTTGTCCTCATTAAACGTGAGCCTGGCCTTTTATAATCAGCCTGAGATGTGCCACGATATTGTAGTGTAGCGGTCTTGCCATCAGATTTTGGTTTGCTCTCCATTGCTCGCCAAACAGTGCCAACTAGACTGTGAGGTCGTGTCTCCAAAAATGCAAGCAAATCTGCCAAAGGAGGAATTTGATTAGTTGTGCGGCTCATGCCCCATGCCTGTTGCGTAATTGTTGGTAACTTGGCCACTATAATGGGTACCGCCAATGCATCCCATTTTAATTGCCAAGCCTTGGGAAGATACAGCACCGCCTGCCATATTGGAAGGTGCATCCGTATTTTGTGCATCACAACGGGCCAACTCACGCCGCAATGCAACGCACGCCTCGTTATATAAGTCTTCCACCTCGTCCCACAACTTGATGTGAGACCATAATTCAGTATCATCTCTTGCCAACGCCACCAACTCACCATGTGCAGTTTGTAGTTTTTCGAAATGTGCCTGCAATGTTGCACGATCTTGCTGCATACCAAAGCCATCCTCAACGTAGTCATCCGCCACTATTTTTGCAGCTACCCGCTTTAATGATGACCACGCAGCCGTACGCCTATTTAGGGCAGCCATATTTTCTTCGTATAAAAACGCCAAAAAAGCCAAAAACGCAATTTAATTTAAAATAAAAACCGAAACTCCCGGGTTTCGGCACCAACAAATGTATGAAAAACAAACACGAATTTCCATACACGCAAAACTTTATGTATTTATTCGTTAAGGATTTAGTCAATTAAATTTTATTACATTCTTATACAAATTTTTTACTGATAAATTATTAATATCTTGTCAAGCCAAAAAACGTGCACACACCGCCAGTAGCCAATTAAGAAGAAGGAAAAGGAAAAAGCAAAAAAGCGAAGCCAAAATTATCGCTGCCAGATGTTAGGATGCCATTGTCAAAAAGTGCTAAATGTGTGCTGCCACATCGCCTAGTTGCTGTGCCAAATCTCAAACAGTATTTGAAATCCTAATCAAGCGCACCAGCAGTATTCAGTGCAGCGTTTGTGATCTCTATATACTATGTGTTTCCGTGTAATCTTTTCATAATTAAATTTTAACACTTTGTATTTGGGTACTTCAGAAGTCACAGAAATAAGTAGAGCATATATATTAAGCATAATGTAAATCTGCAAAAATTAAAATATTGATAAGAAGGTTAAATTTGCTGAAAACATCTTCTTGACTTCAAAAAGTATTCTGAAAAAGAGTCTTTCAATGTTTATTAAAGCAAATTTGTCTCGTAGGCAACATGAAATAGTAAGACAAAGTGATAAAAAGTTTTATTCATGTTATACTTTAATCCAAAAGGCTAAAAAAGGCTGGTAAGCATTAAGTTCAGCATACAAAATCACTGCTACTTCTGCCGTAATCAATTTACAAGATTTTTTGAATAATACAGCAACAAGACTATTGGAATACCTTCAAAAAGTGATTAAGTTATTAGAACAGAATGATTTAAAAAACTTAGCACTCGTTTGTAAGTGGGGTTGTGATGGATCATAATCCCAATACAAGCAAAATTTTACAATGAGTTCTATTTGGATACGAGTATTTTTCTAAGTTCGATGGTGCCACTGCAACTAGTATTATCAAATACTAAAAAAGTGATATGGGACAACCTTATGTTGTTATTTGGAGTAATCACGAGTATAGATCCAAACCTTTCGTTTAAAAGTGATTTTGGAAGTCATATCAACTGGATATTACATAGTCACATGGATACTGAAAAATTTAATCAATATGCTTTCGATACAGCGAAGCTGTACGTAATGTTGTACCCATGGTATCCTATGACACCTACTATGCATAAGATTCTTATTCATGGAGATATTGTCATTAAAAATGCATTGCTGCCTATAGGACAACTATCAGAAAAAGCAACAGAAGCACGTAATAAGCATTTCAGTTTATATCGTGAGAACTACGCACGAAAATTTTCTCAGGAGTACTGCAATACAGATATATTAAATAGACTGTTATTAACATCAGATCCTTTCCTGATTGGATTGAGAGGAAAGCCAAAAAAAACATCAAAGCCGTTCACAATGAAAGCGTTAGAAATGCTCCTTCCTACTAATGAACTGGAAGACACTATAATGTGCTTAAGTGAGAAGGATGAACTTATCTCAGATAGCGACGAATTGAATTTTTTATGCTTTCAATCATAATTTTACTGTTGTTAGGTATACGAATATGTTTAGCCAAGACGTCACATTAAAAACTGAAATACTTTTTATTATTATAATAATATTTATAGTTGTATTTATAATAGTATAATAAATAATATTTATTTGTTTTAATATCCTAATTGAATTCTGAATTGAGACGAGCACTTTGCCATACATTTACAACATTTTATCAAATACAGTATATTTTTTTAGACATCATTGATTATTCTGTTTATTTTTTTGTTTTAGCAACTTTAAAAGTAATGAAGTAATTTTGCATTACATTTTAAAATAAACATAATACAAAAATTGTTTTGGCCGCATAAATTGGTCAAATACAACATAATCGGAGATAAATTGGCTAGAAAGAAAGGTCAAGAACTTCTCTTCGAATGACATTATTAAAAGTGAGTTTAGAACCATTGTTCAACATGCTTATGTTGTTACTACTCAAGTGTTCAAAGAAGTATTCATTTCTATGTATGTTATTATGCTGTGGTCTAGGCAAAGGAGCTCTATCCATTATTATGAATGATGCAGAGAAAAAAGAGAGAGAACTCTATTGGGTAATGCTACCAAGAATCTCACAAACTAAAATGCTTTTAGGGACTTACAACCTTAAGAGCTTTAAAGATTGTATAGTACAATCAAAAACTAACATTAGAATTATTACGGGATTACTGACCGGTCACTACAGGTTGAATAATCACCTATCGAAGTTAGGAATTCAATCCAACTCAGACTGTAGATACTGCAGGGAAGAGAGAGAAACGGCATACCATGTGCTTGGGGAGTGCCCGGCACTGATGCATAAGCGAAAGAAACACCTAGGAGGGTATTTCATGGATCATAAGGATGCAAGACTGGGGAAGATAGGATCCATACTGTCCTTCATTAAAGAAATCGGACTTGGAGAAATACTCTAACCTGACAAAGGGGCACAATAGATCTTTTAGGTCGCAGTGCACGATCCCATACTCGATAATAATAATAATATGTATGTTATTACTTCCCCATAAGGTGTGGTGCGCATTGGCGTCTCAACCAGTTATAAATTGTAAATTATTATATTTGCAATGACTTACAAGGTTTGTGACTGCTTCAAGTTGTGCCTCATCTGCATTGCCTGGAAAGTAGGCCGATGAAGCCCCTCTGGATGAAATCTGAAATTGGATTACAGTCAACATTTTTGTTTACTTGTTTAGCAGTTCTAGATGACTTTATGTCACGTTTATAATTTAACTTACTTGATTGACGCTGAAAGCCTTTAATATGCCCACTGACTGTCCTCTGGATAAGCGCTATGGCCAACCCTTTTATAGCAAAGGTCCTGCACAAAGTAGACGATGCACTGCCTATAGGTGGCCTCTGCGAATTAAAAGCCTCTGCTTGATGGCGGCTCTACTGGTGGTTGAGGGCTCACTTGGAGTCACATTAGACGTCGATATTAACTGTGTGGGACCACATACTCCATATTCTATATCTTAGTCCTAGTGTTCTAGTGTTTACTTGGTACCCTTTTTTTCACAGGCTGTTGTGCTGATTACTCCTCCTTTGTTGCATTGCTTTCTTTCAGAAGCATCTTAATGTGAAGGGTTACATTTATAATGATCAATTTTTTCGGTCCAAAGGTCCTGCACAAAGTAGCCGATGCACTACCTATAGGTGGCCTCTGCGAATTAAAAGCCTCTGCTTGATGGCGGCTCTACTGGTGGTTGAGGGCTCACTTGGAGTCACATTAGACGTCGATATTAACTGTGTGGGACCACATACTCCATATTCTATATCTTAGTCCTAGTGTTCTAGTGTTTACTTGGCACCCTTTTTTTCACAGGCTGTTGTGCTGATTACTCCTCCTTTGTTGCATTGCTTTCTTTCAGAAGCATCTAAATGTGAAGGGTTACATTTATAATGATCAATTTTTTCGGTCCAAATAAAATTGATATTTTAATTATAAGAAAGATCAATTTGGCCCCCAAGAATGATTCCAACGGAACTCTGTTATGGTATAAAAGGAAAAGTCGTTATAGTCATGCAGTGAAACATGAACAAGAAATGAAATTATATGAAATTAAAGATTTAATAATATTTAACGAATATTATAAGCTTACATACCAAAAAACCCCAGTTGCATGTAAGCATGCAAATCCACTGCATAACTAAAACTTAAAATTTACATTGAAAATGAATTCACAAGGAATTCATTTAAAAAAATAAATAACACCTCTACCTTGTATATTTATTATTTTTGACACTTAAAAAATTGTTTTAATTTTAATAAATAAATATAAATATTTATCGCGACCACTACAGACACAAAGTTAAAGAAAACACATTTTAAATAAAAATAAATGAACAAAAACAAGGAATGTCAAAAAGTTTTTGCGCATATAACTTTTTTTGCGAAAAATTATGCGCGCGCATATAATTAAAAGAGCTACAGCAGAAATAGAAATGCAGAGAAATGAAACATCTAAAATCTGATAAGAGGAAAGCTGGGTTCATTGACCACAAAGCAGATAACTGGAAATTTGATTTTACCAGTTATAAAAGAGGAGGATAAAAGCGTCAGTTTTGGAAACAAGAGCTCTCTTTAAACTTGTGATTTTGACTGCTACGAATGGCACCTGCGATGTGTGATTTTTGTAAAATTAATGAAAAATTGTTTCTTTTTCGGCAAGTGGTAGCAGTGGCTTAATGATTTCAAGACTATCAATAATATTCCAGAACAAACGTAATTTAATGTAGTGTAATGTAATGAAGATATATATATTCCTTCTTTTGTTTATACATCTTTATACGTCTTTAATATGTTTATACATATTATATCATATATATATTATATATTTTATATACCATATATTACATTATATATATATTATATATTATTATTTTTTTAGACAATTAATTAAATTATATATATGAATATATTATATGAATTGTGTTTCTTTTCCCCATATTAAATACACATTATAATAGAGCATTAATATCTTAAACAAGCTAAGTCCTTTTTTCGAAATACTTTTAATTTGTATATTAATTAAATTATATTATACGAATTGACATATTTTTGTTTATTTAGTTATAACAAGATAGATAGTATGTTAGTTTTTTTTCCCTCCTTTTGTAAATATTCATATTCCAGGAAATTCAAAATTGTTTGGTTTTTCAAATATAGCTAGGTACAGCAGTAGAGCGGTGACGTTGTTATAACAACTGCGGTGAGAATGTTTTTTTATTCGTGAATATTGAACGAACGGAACAAAAAAAAAAAAAATTTTTAATAGTTTATTTTTAATTTAAAACCCTTTCTTTATAATGTAAATGATTTAATAGTAAGTTGTAGTTTTGTTTTATTTATTTATAGTAATTTTTAGTTGGTTATATTTTTGATAATTTGTT